TATACTTTTGAGAGAGCAATGAGAGATGGCCAGAAGACCTAGTATTCTAGTACCAAAGACTTTGGGCCATGGTCTTCCGAAAAAGAAGAGAAATAATTTATTTGAAATTGTTGCTAAAATTTGCAACTTGTCTGGGGAGTACCATATTCAAGAGAAACCTGAAAATGAATGAGTATGGAAATTCAATCACATACTCTGGAGGTATGTGGTTGTGGAATATATTTTTGAGGAAAGTAACAAAACAGAAGGAAGAGTAGGAAGATTAGAAAGAGCAGAAGGACGAATGAATATGAAGGATAAATTTATTCACAGAATATGCATGTTTCTTGTTAAGAGATGAAAGAATCTGTGCACTTCCTTGTATGTGCACATTTACTCTTCAGTCCTTGATCATGTTGCAGGTTCACACAATAAGAACAGGTTTCTGCCCCTCAGTAAAGGATTTGTGGATGTTCTGTCTGAATTTTATCACAGCAAATTAGTGGAGGAAGTTCTTTTCAAACATCACTTCAAGACAGCAAAATACCTAAGGTTCCCTAATTGAGTTTTACTTCTCTTTACATGAAATGAAAACCAGAAGCTCCACAATAAGACAAAAGAAGAGTGGGGAATGAAACATTTTTTTAATAGAAATGTATGTTCAAAGGACAGTATGAAGATGAAAGAGTTTTGCATCTTTTTGCTAAATCTGACATCAGTCTTCAGTGACCAAGCCATTAATGGTGAGTTTCAGATTTATAATTTCATTTATTCAATTCCTGCCTTTTTCTTCTCTTTTTTGGACCTGACTCACTCTTCCTCATTTTCTATTTCCTTTTGCTCCTTTCTTCTCCGCTGTAGGACAACAAGCATTCTGACCAAAGCAGTCAGTTTGAGTCGGGCACAGGTGCAGACAGATAGGTGAGAGTGTGGAGGTTGGCTGCAAAGAAGTCCAATAGAACAACACAAAAAGATCAAATAATTATCTCATCCCTGCTGACACAGTGATATTTACTATGCCCAGAAAACTGTCTCTGCTTGGAATTGATACTTTGGCCAGAAACACGTCTTGCAGGCTCAAAGGTCTCACTTCACTATTGTTGTACCCAGGCTTGACTCTTATGCTGTGGAGATGTGTGGAATGAACACAACTTCAAACATATTTGCACCAAGGGTCATTATTTGGTTCCATCAGATGAGTGTTGTCACTGGTGCCTTTCCCATTCTGACGGCAGAATCATTGTACTTCCTGCTAGCTCTCACTATTTCCATTTGTAAGCAGTGCATCTTTATTTTGGCTGGCATGCTGTTTCAGAAAGCGTTCCGATGAAGAGCTTGAGATGCCACAATGACTACAACTCTCTTGTGACGTGCACATGGAAGGAACATTCAGAGGCTCATGCTCTCCTTGGTTTGACTCTGTACCAAAGGAATGTTATTAAAAAGTAAGTACCTGAAATGGACTGTGCAGGAAAAACATCCAAAGAGTATTTGGCCACAACTTGGAATCTCTGGGCCCGCAGTGAGGTTTTCAGAAAATACCAGCTGTTATTGGGTTACACTCAAAGTCGTGCTTGCTTCTGATGCCTCTCCTAAAAAGGGGAGGGGAGGACTTCTAATCATGTGCCAGGGGAGTTAATTTTATCATATTTTCAATTATTTTCCATAAGTTTGCAGCAGAATCCTGGATAGGAAATACGAAGGGGCACGCAGATGGCTGTCCACGAGGTAGAGAAGATACATTGAGAAGAGGAGTGGGCT